CTGCGACAACTAACCCATGAATTTCATGGACAAATTTTAAGCAACACTTCTTTCATCTTGGCATTATGTTCCATGTGGAGGAACCATAGCGATAGAAAAATTTCATTCATAGAAAGAAACGCTTGAACCAGGTTTCAATGAATTTCGAATTATGTAGTAGTTTGAAATGTCCCAATAAAATCCTGTTAATTGAGAGCTATTATGATTGCGAGTTCAGTTATTTTAAATCAAAATAAAAGGCAAATTAATCACCAATTCGAAGCCGTCGAAATCTAATGCCGTCATTGACATAAAAACTTATTCATGTTTTGGATTAAAAAATCTGAATTATTAACCATCAATCTCAACTAACCTCAATTGCCTTGAAGGTAATCTGACTAGTGCACGCTGCTTATGTAATGGAATATATTTAATTGATTATTACATTAGAATAATTTGAATTACATTACATTTTGTAATGGATTTTAGTAGGAACTTTAAAATTAGTCACGAAAACTTTTTATTTTCTTTATTATCATATAAGTGACTGAATTTTTCAATTTAAAATTTCATTCGAGTTTTAAAATATACTATATATGCGCCACAATTACCATAATATTGCAACACCGCTATTTTACCGACGAAATATTCTACTGAATACTTCTGAATATACGAGCCTTCAAGTTGTGCATGGAATTCCTTTTTGTCCGCGTACATTATACCAAGCAAACTTTCCTGCCCAGCAAATATTTCGTTAAGTAAAACAAAGGCGTTCGTGAGCAGTTTTTAAGATCATCAATACTGCGAACGTCTGGGATTTGAGAATAAAATTTAAGGATTAATTTTTTGTTAGAAATGTGATAAATCACAAAATAACCTTTAAACAGTCAAGTGCGCGTAAATTCTCAAGGAATTTCAACGGTGAATTTTGGCGAAGTCTCGTGGAAACGTTGCTGGTCGCGCGTGCGTGCAGAGCGTGCGTCCCGCTCGGCGTATGGCGATATGCCCGCTTGTCATTACGACCTCAATTAAGCTGGATAATTTACCTCTGGTGTAATCGTAAAGGACACGGAACGATAAGACGGAGGTATTTTAATTGCGATGTCCTAGAGTTAGGGCTTATCATTCTGGTACTCACGATAATTAGGACTTAAAAAGGAGCCTTCAATGGAGATAAACAATGGCGGAAGTCAACTTCAGCGTGCTTGGCAACAGACGCTTCTCTTGTTACCGGACCGTTATCCATCAACAGGGATTGGTGGCATGCCATTTCATGACCATAACGGGTATTGCTGGTCGTTGTGTTGAGTATAAATTGAGGTTAGCTTACTTCTACATGTAATTTTGTTAAGGCACCGCAAGTGTTGCTATAGATGGGCATGGTTTAGTGAGGGACTGAAGATAGTCCGAAACAAAAAAACTTTAGTAAAATATATATGAGCATAGGAGCAACCTGATAAAATATAACCTTTATTAATGTTAATATTATTACCTGCAAAGAAGACTTCAATATTCCCTGAATTTATTTTTCTTCACTATCCATGAACATGTAACGAGGAAATATACATGAGTAAAATGATACGTTATCCGTAGCGTCAACTTACTAAGTTACAGCAGTCGTGGTGGGACATTTTGACGGTTCGTTCTGATGAAGCACTGAATGCTGCATGGTTCTGCTATGTGGAGTCATAAAGACAGGTTAAGTTTGTTGAACCCAAAAGACAAGGGTTGGACATTATTGATAATGTCTCGAGCGTGCCTATTCCTCAGGCTGATCGTGTATACTATCATCTATTTCTGACAAATTAAGAAAATAATTTATAAATTTGACAGAAATTCTGCTGAGACTTTAAATTTTGATTGGTTTGGGACGCAATTCTTCTTCGGGTAATTAATTAAGTGATGAGTCAGCATATTAGGCTTGCAATATTTGTTCTGCTGATAGTGATAATCAATTCTTTACGTAAACGAGTTAAAATATATGCAATCATGCGTATGATAACTATTTATACCTAGAATACTGCGTCTATGAGACTTCTGGAATATTCTTAATTACCTGACACTGCTCGTCGATGTTGTGTAAACAACCGGGGAGTGTTTAAAATTTTTCTAACGCGCACATTTTTAATACATTTTATTTATCCAGAGCGCGTGTTCGAATTTTTTAGAAATTGTTTAATAGAGCTGGGACCTATTAAAACAATGATGCTAAATTTGATCACATTAGAGCACGGTCCTAATTATGGTAATTATATATGTGCATGATCCAAAAAATCTTCTGCCTTGAAAATAAACAGTTATTAGTTGCTTTTGAATGTTATTTTACAAACTACTTTTTGAAAATATACCTTGCGTTGCGTTACGACGTTTATTTGTCGTAAATTGTCGTTAAATTATCGTTAATAAATAAACAATGAAATCGGACATATAAGAACCTATTTAAGATCAGAACCATACGTAAGATCAGAATATTAGTTTTAGGCAATATTCTATAGAGCAGGTGGAGCGAAATTGGGCTCTTCTGATTTGAGTTTTTCAGCGAATAAAGACTAGTTAAAAATTTTCGTGGAGTTTTCTGTGACTAAACTCATTTATTCAAGAATATGAGTAAGAAACCGCGATTACTCGGTCAGCCTGTTGCCATGCAGACACGTCGGAAAACGCTGACTCAGTATAGCTAGCATTTTTCCAGAATCAATGTCTATTGCCAGCGATTGAGTAGCTTTGTATGATCGACAATGATGATGAGGTCAAGTTTTTTGCCACCTTGATTGAATGAAATCTCGTAATGAAAATTGCTTTGCTTGCATGTATCGTTAAGTCATGAATCCATGGCCGTCAGTTAGTTACTTAATGACCATTTCTTTGCCGACTTTGATTTCCGTTATTTTCAGAGAATAGCGAAAAGGAAAAATTACAGAAGTTGGAGGATCCTACGGTAAATAGGATGTTCTATATTTTAGATCCCACTTGAGAAATAAATGACAGAACACTAAGATGCGCAGTCAAGTAGAAAGATAATTAAAGTGAATAAATTTATACAAAATAGATGTCCACCAGAAGAACTTTATATGTATAAATAAATTTGTATCAACCAACGAATGACCGATATTTCAAGGCATTAAATGGTATTTCTTCTATTAAAGACTTCGAATGGCAAGTTTACGATATGCTGGTAAAAAAATGTATCTTCTAAATTCGCGTTCTTCCTCTTCTTTTCGACAAAGAATTTTTATCTCCCACTGGAAAAATTTCCAATTTAGTCAGAAACATCACAATGACCCTGAAAACAGAGCAAGCTTGCTCCCATGCACGAGAAGGGCAGCCTTCCTTCCACAACAAAGCTCGTGTGATCGGCCTTGGCGGTTTCCGGAAACCTTAATAGAACGGATTAATAAGTGATACTTATGAGCTGCTAAGTTTGTTGTTGCAATGCCTGTAATTAAGACTAGCCTACATCGCATGCCGATTGAGTAGATATGTCCATATCCATCCCATCCACTTGACACGGATGATATTTTTGACATTGGCATGGCTGCATGCTGCGAATATTATGAATGTGCATTTGTGATATTTTTATAATAACATACCTTGCATATTTTTCGATGCGCGATATTTGCATTAATGCATGCCGAGAATATTATTCGTACATGTGTGATATTTTCGTGGCTGTACACTGCGAATATTTGTGCATGCTTTATTTTTTCATGTTGAAATGCTATAAATATTTTTAGATACGTGATATTTGCATGCATGCGTACTCTGTATTTGAATTGTATGACATGTGTAATTGTGTATGCGTAAAAACTGTGAATATTTCGGTTTGCTGGATATTTAGATTTCTGCATGCAATGAGTATTCATTTATGCGTGACATTCGCCTGGCTGCATTATATGAATATTTGTAATCGTAATATTCACACGCACGATGTAATCCAGCAATGTTAGACTCAAAAACAATTATTATGTTTGTGCGTATGCTGCTTTTGCTACTGCTACTACAGCAGCAGCATCGTATTCCAATCTTAATTCTAAAACCACGGTCATAGTTCTTCTACTCGCATATTTTTCATTAAATTGTTACATAGAAGCACTGGTGGCATGAATTAAAGCGCTGGTAAAGCTGGAGCGTTCTATAAGCGTAGAGCGTTAATTACTATGCTTTAGTTAGGCGTTATGGCGCTTTTGAAGTTGTTACTTTGATACGCGTTGAAAAGCGGTTGGCCATGAAGTGTTGTAAACGTTGGTGTTGCGTGGTTTTCGTTGAATTATTTTTAACTATGAACATTGTTGGCGTTAGATGCGTTAGTAACGTAAGTGCGTCGTTATCTGCTTCTTATTATCTCCATAAATATCTGAAACATTAATTGTCAGCGACGAAGAGTGCACAGTATAGTCCGACACCTATAACTGACATTCATGACAAAAGCGGTGAGTGCGCAGTTATAATTCGTCAATTATAGCTTACATTCATGACAGAGGTGAGGAGTGCGTAGTAAATTCCATTATATTCCATCACCTACAACTAACGTTTCTGAAACAGATGAAGAGTGCGTAGTCAAATACAGCTGAAATTTTTTGAAACCTTTCTTCCCTGTAAATAATTGAACATGTCATCTTGTTTTACGTGCTTCTACGCTGCAGGCACCCGTTCCATACTATAGTATACTAGAATAAAACTGGTAATAAAGTGGATGTCGCATCACCTCGATAAAAAATGTTAATTAATTTATTTCACAAATGTTGAGAATCTCCGCAGTTAATGTCATTGCAAAGACCGAGGTCACGCATAAATCCACGTAATTGTCACATCAATTTTCATTAATTCCAACATGAGAATTTGGTGAGCAATTGGGATTTTCCAATCGAAATATAGTAGAAAACAGTCTTTCAGATTACACAAAGCTCTAAAGATTATTGAAATACATAAGATGCATTCTCAAATTGACAGGCTGCCACATTAACCATAAATATTCATGCAGAGGAAGACGTCCTTCTATTTAAATATCTTTTTGCTTGCAGGTTATCCGTTCGACTTCCAGCACTCGAACACGAGTGACATAATGTATTTCAAGATGAGTCACGGTGAGATTAGCCAAGCCTTCATCCACTTGTGGATCAAGCCTGTGAGATCAGCTCCAGGCTCCAAGCACGTCATAGAAATTTACAAAGTCAGCGCGCCCGTCGACAAGAACAACTACATCAGAATGAACGTGAGCAGCAATTGACATTTTATAATTATTTTTTGCCCTATCGTTGATATAAAATAATAACTGACTTAATTTTTTCAACGCTTAGATTGCATAATTTTAAATCAAATCGAATGTAATGCGATGATTACTGTAATTTCTGCTGCCATATCGCATGATGTTTGAGGATAAACAATTATACAAATCGCTGTCAATATTTTTTCATTATAATTTATACGTATTTTATTTGTCGCATATTTTTCTGATATTTGTCAAAGTTTGTAGGCGTTGTTTGGGAGCTTGGCTCATTAAATATATTGGGCTGCTAAGGGGTGCGTATCCACGATATTCTTCATATAGGGATAATGCTATAATGCTATAGGGATAATGACATAAAAATTTATTTTCAGTTGAAATGGGCTTTAAGTTAATTTCTGGGGCTGAACACGGTTTTTAATTATTATTTGTTAAAAAAGTATTCTAGCAGCACGATAAGCGACTGGATGATGGAACAAGGACTGGTAAACCGACTATTCCGTAACAGATATATGTGCGTGTTTGAGTGTTTATTCTTTTGTTTGAAGTATGACACTGTTGAGTCTATAAGAATTAGTATTTGCAATACCCCCTGAGACAGGTTATACCCGGATGTGATATAATACTTTCAAATTCGCATAATCGCAAAAAGAAGCTTATTTTAAAAATTGACGCATTTTACCACTAAATTTTGGTGCATTTTAAAATTTCCTTGTTACTATCAGGATAACCCATTGTTTGTAATACATAATTCCGTTCCCATATCTCGTTAATAAATCTTCAATCAAAGTCACCGCAGTTGAAAAAAATCAATTAAAACCCCATCTAACACAAAACTACTTTTCGACTTACACTTGTAAGGCTGAGAAAATTATTTTGATGGTTTGGAATTAATTTTATTTTCAACATGCTTCGAAAAAAGTTTTTTCCATTCTACCTTACGTTTTGTCTATTGTTTTGATTAAGAATAAAGTTATATAGGGTCCAAGTGAAAACGCGACTCGATAGGTATAGCGGATTTCATATTCGACTACTCTGGTCCAGGAATTAGAATTTCGTGCGCAAAGCAGCTAGCAGGCACCGATATAAATATTTCCAACTAAAATTCCCTGCGTTTGTCTGGGCTTAAAAATTGCTGCAATTTAATTAGGAATCCCGCTGTCCAAAATAAGTCATTCCGGTAATCTTTAATCCGGGTAAATTCAATTTATTTATTTTAATAGCTTATTTATTTTAATTTTATAAGATGCTTTCAAAGATACGTTTCACATAAAAGATAAGAATCTTATTTTTACTCATGTTTCCGAAAATGGAAACAATATTTTTCTTTTAAATTAAATTTCTATTTTTCAATTCAATTTCAAATTTCAACTTTTGATCCCATAGGTACTTACCTCTTTCCTCCATCCTGTTCCTCCTTTTCCTTCCTATCACAGTCCAATCCTATATCATATATCCAGGTAACATTTGGACACAATAAGTATTCTTGATAAACGCCCGAACAGCCGATATATGTGACAAGCTAAGCTTCAAACACATACACAAAAATCGAAATAATATAAAGCAATATAATAAACCTTCTTTCAATGCCAACGAGGACTCATTCATCATAATCTCTCAAGCACTTAATTTTACACCAAAATTTAAAAATTCCTATCTATTCAAGATAAGTGATACATTTATTAATGAGTGATGCTCATACGATCTCTAACAAAATGAAATAATTCCAGATGCTGTCCGTCGACACGGTGAACTTGGAGCACAACAAAGGCTCGTGGATTCGGTACCCAGTGTTCGCGATGGTGGCGGACTGGGCCACGAACCCCGACAACAACCTGGGCATGATCGTCATCATGAAGGGTCCGGACGACAACCAAATTGCCGTCACTAACTCCAAGGAGGAACCTGAGAAAGTGAGATAGTTCTCATGCTTTGGATTAATACTATTGGCAAAAACTGAGATCAAGGTGTTTTCGGTTAAGCAGAATAATAAAACTCGCTGTCTTTTATTTAATTTTGCTTTGATGCCGAATAATTATAGTATCATTGATGAAAACAAAATTATTCCCGTTGGTATTTATTAAAAATAATAGGAAGAAAAGTTTATTTGCATCTGAATATTTTTTTGCTATATATAGGATAATGCTTCTTATAGTTTAAACAGATGCATGCTCCGCCATAGCTTCAATGGGAAAGTACTAAAATGAATAATTTATTCATTTCAAGTATTGTCATATTTTCTAATAGCACGTGCTGCTTGCAGGCGCCGTTGCTGGAAGTGCAGTTCATCCACGAGAGCGACAAAGCGAACCGACTCGCCCGCTCCCCAGACGGCGGCAAATGCTCCCTGACTGAGACCAGATGCTGTCGCTTCCCCCTTCCTGTCAACTTCACGGAGCACAACTTTGACTTCATTGTTGCTCCCAAGGTGTACATGGCTAATTTCTGCAATGGAACTTGTGATTACCTGTACGCACAGCAGCACATACACATGGCTATGGTGCAGAAAATACACAGTGGGACTGCGACACACGGTCCGTGCTGTGGTGCAAAGGAACTCATGCCTCTCAACATGCTCTACTACGACCATGACAGAAAAATACGCTTCGATACCATCAATGACATGATCATTGAGAAATGCAGTTGTGATTAGGATTTACTGAGGAGATATGCTCTTCAAGAAAGAGGTTACTCTTTGTTGAATTAGGGTGTGATACTGTGATCTGGGGTAATTGTCGAGTCGTGCTTTATTATTATGGGGTAATTATAAGAAGAGAATGTGGGTTTGACTGCTGTTATTATAAGAAGGGATTGTGGGTTTGACTGCTGTTGTTGCGGTTAATTGAGATGCAATTATAAAGTATAAATCTGTTGTACCAACACCGAGAAGTGGAAGCTGCATCAGGGTTCGAACACTTAACGATCGGCAAAGCTCCTCCAGGATGAGGTTTTAAGAGTGAATGTAGTAATGCACGATTCTGTGATCGATTGGATTTGGGAGCTATTTTGAACTAGAGATGTGCTAATAATGGCTGGAAGTGTGCAAGAAAACTGTGATTGGGCTGATTACGGAGACCTGCCCATTAGAATCTGGTGTTAATTTAGCTTTTAGAAGAGGAGTAAATAGAGTATTAGAATCGACTATCGTTGAGACCCAGCCCACTGTGAAAGGTTCCGAGTTTTATATTTGAACCTAAGTATGATGGCTCAAAATTGAAATTTAAGCACTCCAACGAGATGCATTAACCCTTAGAGCAGACGTTGAAACACACAAAATATGCACTACTAATTAAACGTAAGCATTTACTGAATGGTCTTGCAGTTATTATATATCATTGCCGTTAAAAAGTAATGAATTGCAAAATATACCAATATATTGTACATATGAAGCATGCGTCATGTATTGCACATTCTTTGTCCCTGTTAACTGATGCGGTTGAATATTATCTTTTACGTATAAATTGCAAATATTACCTAAATTTTAGTGTAGATCCGTGAGAAGTTCGAACAAGAATGACTGGTAATTTGTTCATTGCTGAGTTCTTTACTAAGAGGGACATTTAGTCTGACAAGACAAATAGCTGATTTCTATCGAGATGACACTGTACAGGAGATCAGTTGTAGGCTGGTGATAGATTCAAAGAACGTAAATTTTGTAAGTTTGGTAAAAGATAAGCTGTAATTTATTCGTCCTTTTTAGGGAATAAATATTGTATAATTCGTAAAAAAAACTTTATTGATCAAGATTGTTATTTAAGTATACTTTCTGTACACGTTATAGAAGATCTATATAAAAAATCCGTAGTATTTAAACTCGAACAGTTCAGGTCGTCACCTCTCTGGAAAAAACTAATTAACCTGTTTCCTACATTTTCTAATTCGTAATAAGTACTTTTCATGAACATTAAACACCTTTGTGCTATGGAACCATATTTAAATGAATTTTATGACATATATTCCACGGCTTTTGTACACATTGAGTTTGCAATGTTAGAGTACGAGCTTTCGGGACAAGTGACAACGAAACTGATTGAAGTTTTGATGCAACTCAAAGTTTTGAGGGTTAGCAAAGGAAATGAGGTAAAATGTGTGACTTAGTTTTTTTCTAAACCCGACATTTTAGACTTTGGACATTTTTAATATGACATGAATGAGAAAGGTACGTCTCATATTGTAAGGCTGTGTAATACAGTAAAATTAACAAAGTTCTATTAAAATACGCACATAATAACAAAATTGGATTATCATATATGACTATAACCACGAACCTTAGAACTTCAATCAACATAATTTATTCCACCTTCTCTTCCTAACTCGTTTCCATGAATATGAAGTGTAACTTACTGTTATCGTATATAGGTGTAGGAAATAATCGTTGGCAGTTAATTACCATAATACTAGCTTAATATCCATCATAGTTAACGAGGGATATTAGTTCATCGGCTAAGTCTCTGTGATGAATCAAAGCCAAACTGCCATTCGAGTGATATTTTTTAACATTAAATTTATTCTATGCACGTTCTTCTCACTACTGATCTTATCGCTTCGTGATGAAATTTAGAGCGCCTAAAGTTTGACATTCACCAAGGATCGCTTATAAAAGCTGAATTATAATGCTGGTGATGTCACGAGCACCGTTATAATGTCGTCACTACCATTTCGCACCTATTTACCTGCGTGGAGAAATGAAAGTACGTAGCCATTTATGCATGTGTACAATAGGTTTCAACTTATCGAATATCTTTGCACAGATTCAAGTCCATACTTTAACAACTTAGTGATTATATCAGAGTAATTATAAAGACTTTTGCGATTAGAATAAGAGTTCAGTCGGTATTGATGACTTTTGAAAAAAATTAACTACATAAAAACTTGTACATTAAATTTATAACATAAAAAGTCGAATTTCATAGTTTTCTCCGGCAATTTATTTATACGTGACCAAATCTTTAGATCATCGTGTCGATTTAATTTGAATAAATGGCAATATATAATCGTAACTTTGCATTTAAAGTCATGACTAATGATGAATTCCTTCGAAAAATGTAATAACTTCATTGACTTCAATGTAAATAATGTAACTCTAGATTTTTGTATGATTCTATATAATTAAAGTCTAATCAGGTGATATCATATGTATCAATTCACCACTTTAGAGGTAGGGAGAATTCCAATAGATTGAATACTTTAATTACCTTTAATAAGTCACCCAAAAAATTAAATTGCTTAGGAATAACAGAATCAGCACATGTATGTCGGCACACTGAAGTAATTCGCTTTATTCCGCTTAGTTATGTATCCTATGAGTCAACGCTTTTTTATTTATCGTATCTGAAAATAATGACTTTGAAAGGCCCTTGATATATAGTGAATTCCAACTCCTTGTTGAATTCTAATTGCAACTAGAATTATAGGACGGCTCATTGTATGTAGATATTAAATCTTTCCTCTCGGTGACGCAGCTTAATAAAAGCCATTGGTCAATATGTTGGGTCAGAAACTACGTACGTGCAGCAAAAATGAAATTCATGAAGTCCCACGTTAAATTAATCAGTTTTAATGGATTTAAAATCACTCTGAGTAAATTACTTATTTCGATGCAATCGATGTGAAGCATATTTCCTACAAGACAAATAAATCTAGCTCGTGCTGTGGTCCCGTCTCTTCTTGTTACACACTATAGCACTAGGCGTGTAAGTTAATAAATATAATACATTATAGAAATTTAGCCATAAAACATCACTGTGAGTAAATTGAAAGTTGTTAACGAGGAATGAATCCCGCACTATGCATTTTTTCTTCCTAACACTTGAAGTATCGACGACGTCTCTAATACTAAACTCAATCAGTCGCAGTATTTCATTCAACTGTCTGCAGTGATTATTTTTGGTGCCATCTTACTTAGCCAGCCTAGACTTCGATAAAATATCTATCGCTTATTACAATTCTAACTTAATTAGTTTTCTTAGATTCGCAACTAACTTTCTTCGGCATTTGTTTATACTGAAAATACTGAAAGTCTATGAAAATCGAGAATCGAGTTTTGTAGTCCATTCATCGTTCACATGCAAATCGTTTCAAGAGAAAATTCGTCAAGAATTTCGGAAAGAAATCTACTTCGTCTTGTTTTTCGACATTCTGAGTACGTGTTTTAAAATATTGTCTAAACATTGAAACCTGTTCTAAATTTTTTTTCAGTCGTTACAGCTTTTTTTCAGTCGTTTAGCCGATTTTCGTTTAGATGAATGATCGTAACCTAAACAGTTATGACCTAATTGAAAATAAAAAACTTTTTAGTCGCAAAATGTCCAAGCGAGCGTTGTTAGATTAATTATTCGTCCAGTTCGTTTTCAATTAGCTACATATGCTAAAAGTTGGCTTCTTGCTCACTAATTAAAAGCAAAGCTGAAAAATTCTACAACGTCCGTATAAGCACATTGTGAAATAACTCCGTTGTTAGTTCTGTCAAGACCAGTTCTGATTTGAAAAAGTTATGCCAGGAAAAAGAGCTCTAAAAATTCCTCCCGATTGTGTCAGAGTTTGGTAACATTACCGAAACGGCACTTATCCGAACTCGCTTGCGAACTCGCCTGCAGACTCAATATAAAAACCTAACTTTTCGCTCAAACGAACAACTCATAAGTCCTTCAAAACTGAACGGATATTCATGAAATTCGCCATACAAGAACAGCACCAGCGAAGCGGAAGATCTAAATTATTGAAAATTTCTCAAAAAATAAATTAATCAGCCACAATGGACGGGAGGTTTCAAGTGCCAGGCTATAGCGAAGCTGGTAAGAAATGTCAACGTTAGCAACTCAAAGAGACAAAGTGTCAATTGAGGGATAGGGTAAATGCTACAGAAACGGCGATACTCGTACAAGAGTTCAGGTACAACTACAAGTCAGGTGTCAATATCTCCAGTAATTCGCTAGAATCAATGCTTCAGTACATAAAATGATCTATTATGTGTCTGTTCCTTTTATTATTGATTCTGACGACTGTCATGGCAGAACGCCATGAGGTGAGTATAGTTCAGTTTTCCATACGATCATTTTCTGAAACAATGAGTTTTAGAGTAGTTTTCAGTAGTATGGGATATATATTGTACGAGAAAGTATAAATTAATGTGGTAGTTGCAGATTCCTTTGTAAATAATACCACGTTTTTCTTAGCTCGCTTTCGTGCCCGTCTGTCTGTCTGTGATGATCAAATCTTGCAATCGATATTTCACCAACTTTCCCGCTAGCTAGCGCTCTGAAACTTTTAAGGAAGTTCAGCTCCCGATGACAATGTACAATAATCAATAATTTGTTGCACGTTTCCAGGCGAATTTATTCAATGAAATGTCTTTATTACAGCCACTCACCTAGATAAATACGGGAACAACAATGTATCCCATCGAATACAATTTTCTACAGAACTTCGAAAAGAATTTTCTTTCGTGCATTTGCTTGGCCAACTAAAATAAAATGAATATTATGTAGGTCAAGTCAAGTAAATTGGCTCGCAACAACGTTTTTCATGTGTAGCAACGGACTAAAAAGGAGAAAATAAAATACTTAAAAAAAAAACTTTCTAAAAAGCCATGTTTTTCTTGTGGACTGAAAAGTAGAAAATAAATTATGGCTCGCCCCAAAAAACGTGGGTCGGGCTGTAGGTTCACCATCAAATTTCCAAAATTCGTGTGTTGTGTGCTTTTCGCTTTAATCATAAATCTGCCCGACACACGTTTTTTGGGGCGAGCCATAATTTATTTTCTACTTTTTAGTCCACAAGAAAAACGTAGTTTTTTAAAAAGTTTTTTTTTAATTATTTTTTATTGTACCCATAACTGTCAATGTGACGGTAGGGGTTGAAAGAAAGTAAGCACTGAAGCGAAGAGGCTTCTTAGAAAGGTAAGAGATGGGTGTTATTAGATAAATTTGAAGAGTATAACTAACTTCCATCACTTAATAGAAATACTGATAATAAACTTGTTTGCTTTCCCAGTGTACCTAAACTCACTTGCTACAGTGAAAATGTTGCAATGAATCGATCGTTTTCGAATAGTTTTGCAGAACCGTTCAAAAAGTCTACAGATCTTGGGGACCGAATTCATCTTGTCACAAACCTCAAGAGCGTGAAATTAAAATCTTCCTTTTTTGACTTTTCACAAAGAGACATTTAGTATAAGAATCACCTAGCAGAAGATTTACGTGAGTTAGTGTTACTTGACCGTTGTTTGATTTTAATACAAGCTTGTTAAATTGTTAGATCTTAACGATCCAATTGATCATTATGATTGTCACGAATTCATCTAAAGATAAGCGTTTCATTTTTTTCTACGTACTAGGCTATGAAATTTTATCGAGAGAGCTTTAGTTCACTAAAAGCTGGCATCTTAATTACGGATGTGTTTTCAATGGCTAACTTGTGTGTTTATGCATCCAGCCGAATGTTCATCTCACATGATTCGAATTATGGACGCTATTATTTTGTACTCTGAGTCCTAGTTAGGTATATACGCGATGAATGTTTTTAATGGATGTGGGACGTTGGTCAATTTACATGCAGTTTTGTTGTCAGACTGATGATTTACATGGAGCGATGAAAGGAAAAAATAAAGGAAAAGTCAATGTTAGTAGAAGGCCGATTTGTAAAGCCTACATAGCTTTCTGAGCACATGATTCAACAACAGAGGTGCGAAATTTGTAACTGCAGGTACGGGTTTGTCAGATGGCTTAAAAAATGGCCATGTCACCGGACAAAAAAGGCCGAAAAGGGCCTATAGCTCAATATATACCTACTTATATTCAGTCTGCTTATATCGCAAGTTCACAAAGAATTTAAAAGCGAAGAAAATGCCAAGGAAATTCCCCATATCGATATTGAAAACGTTTGGGAGTCCAACTCCATCATCAGTTCGACTAAACTAAAAATGAATAAAATCATTTTATAAGTCAAAATTCAATAGACAGACATAAAACCTAAACATGACCTAACATTATATCGAAATAAAACGGACTAGATTGGAACAACTTAGTCCTAGGGGTACGACAAGAATATAAAAGCCTAGCGATTCACTATTTCCAGATTATATTAACTAAACGCATTATTGAGACACGGTTTTCGTTTGAAGATATGTAGAGACTCCAAAATTCTTAAATCCGAGCAGCCAGAATTGTGGAACCGAGTATCCTGAAATCACTCTCAGATACAACCACGTCACATTGTTCAGCATGGTGGCGCACGGAAGAATGAGGAGGCTTGGCGAGAGGCAAGTTAGAACGACAGCTCCTGCCACGGTGTTCAGAAACTCGGATGTAGAAGTTACGCGACGTCATTCCGACGTACGCAGATGCACAGCGTGCACAACTGAACTCATAGACCAGGTTTGATCGCATCCGAGCAGGAATAACGTACTTATACCTGAAGAAAGTACCAATTTTTTAATTATTTACCAGCAAAACCTGCAAATTTATATTCGGGAAATATTTCAAACACAACATCTTTAGTTCTCTGGGCATAGTTTCAGACGCACTACCAAAATAGGGCAATTTGCAATAAATAATTTTCTTCTGTCGCATTCAGTCACAGTTTCAGAAAAGCGTTTCATTTTACTATACACAAGGCACGATGGAAAACCATTAAGCTGAAATATATTAAGAATGAAATCGAATTCCAAATGCATATCATGGAAAGTAGAACACACACAGCCGCGGTATATCAAAGTTTGAAGACTATTCAATTTGAAACGAAACGAGCAGAAGCGAAAGAAGCTCATACTTAAGCCGGTAAATGTCGGTTTCCGATAAACGGAAGTCTGAAAACGACCTCCCGACTCTGTGATTTTGCAATCGAGAAACTACAAGCAATTGTTGGATTCTAATTCCATAGTGAATTCCGTTTCAAATTGAATAGTCTTCAAACTTTGGTATACCGTGGCTATAGAGTGTGTTCTACTTTCCATGATATGCATTTGGAATTCGATTTCATTCGTAATATATTTCAGCTTAATGGTTTTCCATCGTGCCTTGTGTATAGTAAAATCAAACGCTTCTTACCTAACAAATTTTCTGAAACTGTGACTGAATGCGATAGTAAGAAAATTATTTATTGCACATTGCCCTATTTTGGTAGTGCGTCTGAAACTATGCCCAGAGAACTAAAGATGTTGTGTTTGAAATATTTCCCGAATATAAAAATGCATGTTGTGATGATGTTGGGT